CTTCGATGCAGCTAAGCACATGTAGAAGTATTTTAATCGATCCTTTGCATCTGTCTCAATGTTAATATCTGATCCAGAATTTTTCTTCATCACCATTTCACCCCATGAAGGTAGGACTGCCAATTAAACATGTTGCATGTTAAACTCATAGGCATAGTCAAATTACAGTGTATAGTAAACAATTTCAGAAATTTAGTTACCTTGGTATGATTTTACATCGTCACCACGAAGGCTATGTAGGGCTGCTTCCTTTTCCCTCCAAGCTCTGAGATAATTGAATGTCACTCCAAATTCACCCTGCATGTCCCTTATAACTTCACGAGGTCGATATGAAGTGCTAGTCAGAGCCACGAATTTTGCTTTCACACATTCCCCGATCATCCAACTACTGGCTTGGCGATGGTGCCCTTGAACAATTTCAATAGAACAAGTGTGTACTTCATCATACCGTTTGACAACAAACAACTCACTATCCTTCATTCTAGTAGCGCGAACCTGCCATTGACATTTATTGTCAACATATACCACATGCAACAAAGTAGTGCTCGACCTCTTCACCTTAAATTGATAGTGTTTGTTCATGGCATCATGATGGAGATGGTACTATAACAACCTTTTATTGTAATAAATGTTCTTCACACGCATTAGATCTTGGTGTATAATCAACAATGACTTCTCCGCCAGAAAAATCATCTGAAAATTGTACACGATCAGATCAGACTTTGGTCCATCGACAACAAGATGGGGTCCACCACTCCCTCCGTTACTTATTTCCTTATTTCTATTACTACCTTCTAGATCAAAAAATCAGGCTCATCATGATCTTGGCGGTCACAATTGATTCTATCATATTCCACCGGTAATGGTACTGGAGGAATGGGGAATTCATCTTCATCGTCCAATCCATATACCATTTTTAAATCCGCGCCGATATTGCCGACACTAATATTTTGCTCGGCTTCATCACTATAACATGAAACGGATGTTGGTTTCACTGGAATGTGGTTTCTTTCTCCTATCTCAGGTGGCAACGCTTCGGCCACTGACTCATCCACTATATCGACACATATTAGAAATTTGTTAAGCAAGTGAACATCCCTCTTCTTCAATTACAGGTCGAATGTGACATCATAGTTAGACGATATCTTCACAGGAGCTTCCCCATCTTCAACAACATATCTTAAGGATAAACTTTTTTCGTATGGCCGAATCCCAAGCACATTTCTCACCAAATATATAAGACCAATATAAGTTGTGTTGGTGGGGACCAATATCCCCTTCATTTCACAACCGACGTATCTCGAAGTACGGTCCCAATGTCCATTGTACTTGATGAAGATGTTCAATCCAGCAGCCATTCCTAAATAATTTAAAAACAATAACTGTTAATCAACATGCAATTACTCCTAGTCGTCATCGAGTCATCAGAAATGGCTAGTCATAACACTGTATAATGGCCAGTCATAAGGCAGTCATAGTGTGTCAGTCATAACACTATGAGTCATTTTAGTCACAAATTATGACCGGACGGTCATATCACTATGACTGCCTTATGGCCGGTCATAATACTATGACGGAACTACCAGTCATTTTGACTCATACTGTTATAATTTGACTCATAGACAATGACTCATATTGTTATGACTGATTGGACACAGTATTATGACCAGACATATAACACTATGAGTCATAATACTATGACTCCCAAGATCAACTATGTATTTGACGTATTGGTCGTTACAATCAGTTTACATATCAGTTATAAACCATCCAAAATTTCAAATTGACGAAGGATATTTTCAATTCCTATCACATTAAGTTCAACCTAGTCATTTTTTTCGACTTCTATATACTAAATCTCCCGAAAAATAAATTTAAAAAGACAAAAACAAAAGAACAACAAAAAAAATTGTGTACTAACCTCGATCTGGTGCACAATCGGAGTATTGGTGACGAGGGAATGAGGGCGTAGGGAAGAGAGAGACCAAGTAGAGAGGAGAGAAAGAGTCAAAAATGTGGTGTAGAGAGAGAGAGAGAGAGAGAGAGAAAGAGTCAAAAATGTGGTGTAGAGAGAGAGAGAGAGAGAGAGAGAAAGAGTCAAAAATGTGGTGTAGAGAGAGAGAGAGTGAATGAGCATGAGAGAGTTGAAAGTCTCTTTGAGGTGCTTTTAAATGATAATTTTGACTTAAATGACATAAAAATCATTTTATCCTCACACTGCTGACATGATAATACTAATTGTGAAAGTACACAAAAATAATATTAAAATTAATAATAATTTATTTAGGAGTGTTATTATTAAAATTAACCAAAAAAAAGAGGGTAAAAGAAAAATAATCAGAATTACTACTTTGGTAGGAGAACCATCAAAGAAATACCTCGGATGAAAAGAGTGTTAATAAGGAAAAGAAAAAACAGCTGTCAAAGAGATTCCTCAAAAAAAACAAAAGAAAAGAAAAGAAAAGAAAAGAACAACTGTAAAATTGAATCAGGTTTTTTCTTTTTCTTTTTTGAGAAAAATAAAATAAAAGGCAAGTTGGGCGGCAACGTTGTTGTTATTTCTCCCTCAACAGCTTATTCCAAATTTGCTAATATACCTAGTGCTATTACAAACTTGAGATACATTGCTGCTCATAAAGAAACAAAAAAATCCTTTGAAAATTCAAGACACATCTATTTCTAATTAATAGGCAGTAGTTTTATTTAAATTTATGCGGATGTATTGATCTTCACGTCAACCCCTTAACAGTTTACATTTTTTTTTTTGGGGTTTTTTTGGGGGGAGGGGGGATCAAAATTATAAATCTAACCACGTATTTCCTAGAAATTCAGCACCAACTGTGTTTTCTCAGTCTCTGATTTATTTTATCTAGTCATTGTCTTTGACCAATTGTTTATCTTCCACAACAGATATAACCATAGAATTTTATCTTCCACAACAGATATAACCATAGAACTCTCTCTCTCTCTCTCTCTCTCTCTCCCTCTCTTTCTCTCTCTCTCTCTCTCTCTCTCTCTCTCTCTCTCTCTCTCTCTCTCTCTCTCTCATAGTGTAAAAAGGATAACATGTATAATATTGTACAAGTCACGGCAACATTAGGGTGTCACAATCATAGCACAAAATTTGCATACTAATTCCCAATTCACACAGCTCTACTAATAACCCAAGATGTCGTTCATCTCTTCTTTTGGGTTGTAAATCTCATTAAACGCGGTTGACAAAGTCCAAAGTCAAAAGAGAAAGAAGTGAAGTTCGGATAGAAATGTATGGTATCTTCTTCCAAAACTTAATGATGAGATAAGGTACAATCTTTTGGAATTGCTTAATTAGGGCGTTAAAGAAACCATATTCAGAAAAGGGTATTAAATTTCTTAATTATGAAAATACGCAATGACGTATTGATATGTCACGCTATGTCATTTCTCTATATAATGTATCATGAAGTCAGAGAACGACTAAATCCAATTTCCAATTGGACGCAGAAAATGATATCACGCAAATTATTGGTTTATTTCATATACCAACGGAATTTTTTTAATTTATTATAAACCAATAATAAATTTTTGAAGAATCTGCCAGCGGATACTCGGGAAAACAACTTATATTTCCATATAATTTTAGTAAATTACGTATTTATACACACAATATATACGTAATATGTATAGATTAATGCTAAAGTCAAAACAAAAGGCCGAGTTCTAAAGCAAACGTAAGCTCACGATAATTTCTCCGTGAGTGGTAATCATGTAAATGACAACTGAAAATAGTATGTCAGCAAAACAATTAAAAAAAAGAACTGCATATAGTAATAGTCAACGCCTTTGGAGCATGTTCCACGAATTCTTTTCTTTTTTTATAGAGGGGAAATTTCATTACCAGAGAGAATGCATTTTTTTTATTTATTAAAGGAAAGAATGAATTATAAACTTAACATAAAGTCGCACATGACCTTAAATTATAATGAAATTTAACCGAATGACTAAATCCACCAGTAAAAATAATGATAGCACAAAGACGAATATAGATGCCGATACCTAAAGGGAAAAAACCCGATCGGCACATAAAAATTGAGCATAACCAATGCTCATTAAAAATGACCAAAGAGTCAATAGATTAACTTAGTCGATGAAGACCAAACCTCAATTCACGGGAACATAAGCAACACGGCCTAGTAAAACCTCTAGCCAGACATTAACACGCATACCATCGAGAAACACCTCGAACAGGTGGGACACAAACCAAGTTGGAAGGTGGGATAACTACCTCCATTATTACAAAATAAAACACATAACCCGCACCATCAAGTGGGTGGGAGACAAACCCATGCGGAGGACACAGCCTCCATTATTACAACTAAACAAAAAAATCCATCGGTGCCAAACCATCTGTTGAAGTACAGAAGCTAGATCTGTACAGAGCCACTATAGACGGAAAGCACAACTAGAGGAAATGAAGGAAATGCACCATGAGATCGTAGTCACCCGCTACTGAGTATGCTGGAAACAACGGTCCAAGCGACAAGCAACCCACCTATAAGGCGAGTTAGATCCACCCCAATAAAAACACTGCACCACACACATCCACCTTCACGTGAAAGCCAACGTCGAGATGAGTCCATAGACTAACTTTTGGGGCCAGAAGCCCCACAACGTGACGGTAGGCAGCGCCCGAACTCCACCAAACCAACACTCCAAGAAGAACCTCTCTCTCTTAACTTTTTTTCTCTCTCTAACTCACCGTCGTGAGTTGTGTTCCACGAATTCTTGCCCATTGCTTTCGCAGTGATTCTATTATGTTCAGAGATTAAAACCAAAAAAAAACAAAACAAAAAAAGAGAGAAAAAATTCTATACTTAAAAATAAAAGGGGCTACTTATTATTTAATAGAATTTAATGTTAAAACAAATTAAAAGTTTAAAAAAAAAAACAAAACAAAATAAAAACCAATTAAGACTTTATTTTTTCTTTTTTGCACGACGAACAAATTAAGACTTTTACGCCTGAAATAAGGGAATGCATTTATGAAGAGGCTAATTGTAAGCCTGTGTAATCAAGGCTTTAAAGTCGAACCTTCCACATCAAACAGTTAGCATCAACAGAGAATTTTCCCTTGAATTAAATTCTCGTTCTAGAATGAAATGTTCCGAGAATTAAAATCTAACATAACGGTTCCCACCTTGCTTAAAAAGCTCAAAATCTGAGAATCAAAATTGATAACTTACAAAATATACACAACGGTGTTATATTTTCCAATGAATTCACTCCTAAACGACCCTTATACGTCTACTGAATTACATGAAAATTTGTGGAAATCAATTGCATGCATGATGTATTTTCTTTCAAGTAATTCTCTATTTAAGTTTGAAGCATAAAAGCTTGTTATTGTCCTGCTTTAAGCTTTTTCCTCTGCTTTCTCCGTTGATCTCGCAAACCTGAAATAAATTATATATCATGATTTATAAACGTGCCTCCCTACAATAATGATAAGGAAAAAAATGAAAAAGAATTAAAATAGGGAATATACGTTTCTTCTCTTCTTTTCTTTTTTTCCTCAGATTCTCCATATTTTTTCGTTTCTGGGCCGTCTCTTTAACATCCACGTGCACCTGTGAGACAAGAAGAAAGTATGAATGGCTAGAACTTGAAAATGAGTAAGTTGGTAGCAATAATGTTCACTTTGTGCAGTTGACCTCAATATCATATAGTTTCTATAATGCCAGCTTGTAGTTTCACAACAACCTTGTCATACTTTGACAATGAAATCATACAGAAATCTTCCAATGATTGAGGTTCTGATAGGTTAACCTTCCCCATGATTCGGGCTGATCTTAATACCATAGTCCTAATATGCCAGCTTGTAATTTCACAACAAACTTTTTATATATTGCTGGAACTAGCTTCCATAATGAACATTTGGAATCATACAGAATCTTCCAACGATTCAGGTTCTGATTGGTTAATCATACGGAAACATACAGTTCGACAATGAACATTTAGAGCATGATGAGTATAATACAAGGATGACGAATTCTATTCAGAATTGAACCACGTGTAAGTATGACCATTCAGAACCTGATTGTTTAATGTTTGGGGTGTGTAGCAGAGTTTCTTCTTTAACAAAAGAGAGAGAGAGAGGTGTGTGTAGCAGAGTTTCTTCTTTAACAAGAGAGAGAGAGAGAGAGAGAGAGAGAGAGAGATCTGAAGGCATAACATCATAGCTAAAAAAAAAGTAATCTGGAGGATACAATTACTCTGCCTATTATTAACACTACCCCTACCATTCATCAGATGCTCGAAATCCCACATGTTAAGCTGTGTAAGTCATGTGTCCCTCACGAGTTCCCTGAGACTGTGCCTGTGCCTTGGACATGGGATAAAGTGGGCCATGAGGCGTTGAAAGAAGCCCGAATCCCTGATTTAGTCCCTAAACACCAGGCCCAGCCCACTCTTTTTGAGATGGATTCCTCTTTCAATAAGAAGTTGGACTATCTGTTAGGGTCCAAGAAGAGAAAGGCCCAGCCTATTTGGTACTCGGTGTTGCCACCACTTCCCTCCTCTGAGGATAAGAATTCTGAACTAGGCACCAAGGCCATAGGCGATACCGGATCCTATCCAATTTAATATCGGCGCCAGCACAGGAGCCTCCTCACCGAGTTTAGCTAAGGAGAAGGAAACAAACAGATTCGTCGGTCGCCGAGGATAGTCAGCTCTTCCTCTGGTAAGCTGCGGCGAGGAACAAATGCGGGCTCACCAAGCACCCTTCTAGGAGTGGAGGAAAGACTTGATGAGGAGAGACAGATCGTTCATGATCAGGATTTTAGGAAAGCCGAGGAGGCGGGCCATATCATGCCCCCCCGTTCGCCATGAAGGTAATCAACTAGAACTGTCGGGGGCTGGCCCGGCTTCCAGCAGAGCAGGCTCTTCGAGCCCTGAGATGATCCCACAATCCAGATGGGATATTTCTGATGGAGACGAAAGTTCAGGCGGATCACATGGATAGGTTGAGAAGAAGACTAGGGTTTCTTTGGAGCGGCCATTGTCCCAGCGGAGAGCTTAGTAGGTTGCTTGTGTTTGTTTTGGACATTGGGGGTCCAAATCCAGATTATTGCCTCGGATAAAAATTCCATCATTGAGAAATTTGAGGAACTCTGTAGAACCTTGGATGGCGTTTTTCTGTTACGGGCCTCCCTACGCTCAGAGGAAGTCTATTTTCTGGGAAGAAATGGCAACGATGGTTCTAGAAGATAATGTGCCCTGGATTGTCATGGGTGACTTGAACATAATTTTAAGTCTTGAAGAGAAAATTTTAGGTCAAAGGTCCTCTGAGAATGAAGCCAAGCCACTCCGTGATTTCTTATTTACTATGGGGTCCTTTGATTTGGGGTGTACAGGAGTCTTCCACACTTGGTCAGAGAGAGACTAGATCGGGTGGTGTGCAGTAACAACTGGGCAATTAAATTCCTCAAGGCGGGAGTTTATAATATGCCTATTCAGGATTCGGACCACTCTCCTATACTGCTTGATACGGTTCTGGAGAAGGACAGGTTGAAGTTTCCATTCCGATTCATGGAAAGCTTGGACGCGAGATCCTTCATGCAGGGAGGTAATTAGGGAATCTTGGAGTCTGAACGTTCAAGGGCCTCCAAGCTTCCGTCTGATGCAAAGAATCCATTGCACTAGAAGGGCTCTCAGGTGGTGGAATAAGACTTGTTTCGGTTTTTGCCAAGATAGACTATGGATTTTGGAGCGGGTTTTTGAACAGATCCAAGGGCTGCCCCCGAGCCAGAGTAATTTGCAGCGTGAGGCAGAGTTTCAGTTGGAGATCGCGGAGTTATGGTGTAGGCAGGACAACATTTGGAAGCAAAAATCTAGAAAGACCTGGCTTCGGGATGGAGACTGCAATACCAAGTTTTTTCATGCTTCGGCAATTCGAAAGAAGAGAACCCATGTTTGGGACCTAAAGGATGATGGAGGAAGATGGCATCGAGAGAGACGATCTATGGCTGCTGAGTTGACGGCAAAATTCAGCATGTTATTCTCTTCTACAAACCCATCTATTAATAATAATTTGGATGAGTTATTTGATTACCAGATTTCGTTGGAGGATGATGAACAACTGTGTCGAATTCCTTTGGCCGAAGAAGTTAAAAAGGTTGTTTGGAGCATGAACCCGTTAAAAGCTCCTGGCCCAGTCGGGATGTCAGGGGTTTTTTATAAGCAGTATTGGGATATAGTTGGTGCGAGCCTTGTCGAGTTTATTCAAGGTTACTTTCGCACAGGAAGATTCATCAGTTGCTTGAACCAAACGTTCGTTGTTCTTATCCCAAAAAGAGAGAACTGATAAACCTCTTGTGCGTTTTACCTACGTGCGGAGGAGAGTTCGAGAGAGGAATATGACTGGTGCAGGGGCTGGCAGTGAGGATGCGATTCAGCAAGGAAATACTCTGGGAGAAGATGAGCTGGCATATCCAGAGGCTGAGTTGGCAAATACTCTGGGAGAAGATGAGCTGGCATATCCAGTGGCTGAGTTGGCAATTCCGGAGGGAGGTTAGGCTGGTTGTTAGGGGGGAGTTAGTTACTGGAAATAGAAATAGTATAAATAGCTTAGTTAAGGCAGAGAGGGATTCATTCGATCATTTTCTCAGAAACTTCTTAGATAAGTTTGATAGGGAGTGCACGGGGTCACTCGAACACCCCCATACCCATTTTGTAATCAATTTTCTGCCATTGTTAATAATCAAAGCTTTCCGCTAGTAATTCATTTCCGAATTGCCATTTCTGTTGCTTATTCGATTTGGAGCTTATCAAGAACCTTCAAATGGCGTATCACTATCGTCCTATAAGTTTGTGCAATTTTGCCTATAAGGTGCTCTCTAAGATCCTTGCTAATAGGATAAGGCCTTTCTTGAAAGAGTTGATTAGCCCATACCAATCTGCCTTCGTCCAGGGGCGGTGGATAGAAGAAAATTCAGTTTTGGCTCAGGGTATAATGCAGACTTTAAAAAGAAAAATGGGCAGGGAAGTCTGGTTGGTGTTAAAATGGACATGAGCAAAGCCTATGACCACTTGGAGTGGAGCTTCATAGATCGGGTGCTTAAAGGTAACGGATTTAGTGAGCAATTTCGCAAGCTTATTATGGGGTGCATCACAACTCCATACTCCATCCACCTTAATGGCAGCCCGCTTAAGGAGTTCTCGGCCTCTCGCGGTATCTGTCAGGGGGACCCTCTATCCCCTTATATATTCATCCTTTGTAGCGAGATTCTCTCTAAGCTGATTGGAAAGGCAGAGCGCGATGGCCGAGTGAAGGGGATCAGGATTGGGAGGTCCGCCCCGCCAGTCTCTCACCTTATATGTTTGCGGATGATACATTTCTTTTCTATCAAGCTCGGCAAGAGCAGGTCCAAGCTCTTTGGGAATGCGTGGAGCAGTACCAAGAATGGTCAGGGCAGTTGGTGAACAAAGATAAATCGGACGTGACCTTCTCAAGGAATGCTTCAAAGGTGATCAGATCTGAAATCTTGCAGACTATGGGGATGTCTGAGATGTCTGGTGAGGAGAGGTATTTAGGTAATCCTCTTTTTCTGTGAAAGAACAGGACTCATGACTTTAAATACCTCAAGGAAAAGATTTATCAAGGTTGGTAGGGTGGAAATGCAAGCTGCTTTCAAGAGCAGGCCAAACGACTCTGATAAAGTCTTATCATTCAAGGTATGCCTACCTATGTGATGACTACTTTTCGCCTGCCGGCAGAATTTTGTTCGGACTTGGACAAGGTGGTGGCGGTGAGGAGATTTTGGTGGACAGGAGATATGGAAAAAATGAGGTTCATGGCGTTGCTTAGTTGGGATAATATTTGCAAACGGAAGTGGACTGATAATATTTGCAAACCGAAGTGGACTGGGCATTCGGCGATTTGCTGACATTAACAAGGCCTTGCTTTGCAAACTTGGTTGGGCCATGGCGGAGATAAATCCCTTTGGTCTGATTGCCTAAGAGCTAAATACTGTAAAGGGGTTTCTAGAAAGTCGAATGTAGCAGAGATGTTGATACAGAATCGAAAGTAAAGACTTTATTATGCAAGTATTATTGAATTGAACAAACAATCGGAAGAATGAGACAAGATTCTTTCCGAATACACTTCTCACAATCAGGTATTCGAGAGACCTGAACTCTCCAAATTCCTCACAAAACAATTCTCTGCCCTCCCCGTTCACTTCCACTCCCTTATATCTCCCTTATTTCCCGCCTAAAAACAGTTATTCCTACATCCTATTCACTCTACATTAGGCAGCCCTGCCACAAAGTTCCCATTTTGCCCTTGCCTTTTATTCCTCCTCACGTAAGTGAAATGCACCGGTGGCTTATCAGATGCCTCCGTTGCGTGGAGGGGTATATTGTCTATTCATAATATCATAGAGATGGGAAGCTATGCTCTCATAGGCTCGGGCATACAGTCCAACATTTGGACAACCCCTTGGATTCCTTGGATGACCCCGGAAGTTCTCAGAGTGACCTTCAATCCCGATGGAAGCTAGGAGGTTGCTGTGGTTGCAGACTTATTGACTGCCGAGAATCAATCTTGGAATGAGGAAGCTTTATCTCGCTGTATTGACTCAGCCACAGCAAACCAAATTGTGAAAATCAAACTTCGTCCACCCAATAGAGGATTGGTTGATTTGGAAGGCGAGTAGACGAGGAAAGTTCTCTGTTAAGAGCGCCTACTGGGTTGATCAAGCCAGGAGATTTGATGATAAGGATTGGTTGTGGAAGCTACTGTGGGACTCTAATCTCCATGAGAGATCAAAACTTTTCTTATGGTGGCTAGCAACTAATTCCCTTCCTTTGAAGGATAAGCTCCTTTCAATGGGGATGGGTGGTGGATCTTCATGTGCCTTGGGTTGTGGAATGGATGAATCTTTGTTACATTTGTTTACGAAATGCCCCCTTACTAGGAATCTATGGTTTATGAGTAAATGGGCTATTAGGTTTGACTCCTGGTGCTTTTCGTCGGCGATGGCTTTTGTGGCGTGGATTCTGGATCCTACGCAGTTTGCCTCAATTATGCAGAAAGACTGCAATGAATTTCGATTCTTTACGGTTAGTGTTTGTGAACATGTCTGGAGGACAAGAAACAAAGCAAGGGTTGAAGGATGTACTCCTCCAGTCCCAGTGCTCATCTCTAGCATTAACTCTCGGGAGGAGGAAATGGTCAAGCTTGGGAGGGCTGCTCGTTCCCCGCCTGGAGTGGTTGGTGGCGTTCAGCTGCAAAAGGAGAGGAGGGAGAAAGTTCGTTGGAAACTTCTGTGGCCGGGAAGAATTAAGGTCAATGTAGATGCTGTAATCCAAGCTAGAGGAGTCTCAATAGCAGCTATAGCTCGTGATATCCAAGGGAAGGTTTTGGCAGTGAGAACCAACATCTTAGAGCCTTGTTCTGTTCTAGAAGCTGAACTAGCAGCTGTTTAGTTGGGGCTTATATTGGCTTTGGATCATCTTTTCTGGATGTCGAGTTGGAGGGCGATTGCAAGCAAGTAATCCAAGGCTTGGGAGATGTTGCTGATATTCCCGAGTGGGCTCTCATCCCAGAGTTTGAACATGTTTTGTTGCTTTCTAAGTCCTTTTTGTCTGTTGAGTTTTAAGTGGATTCCTATAGGGTCTAATAGAGTAGCTCATGAGTTAGCTAAATGGGCTTTACTCTCAGGTGTCTGGTAACTTGTCTAATCGGGAGGTTGCCCCCGTTGTGGCACCCCTTTTATCTCTGGAGTTTTAATAAAAGATGCAGTTTTCAGAGCAAAAAAAAAAAAAAAAGAAAAAAAAAACCCCCAAAAAACCATTAGGACTAAGAGTCTGAAAGTACTTCAATTCCTTGTTTCTTTCACAGTCTCACTCACAATGAGATGCCTAGTTCAGCACTCAGTAGCCGCATTGGGACTTAGGGTAGAATCCCCTACACCGGTCAATAGACTTTTTTGAGCGTGACAAACTATTTGTCAAACAGTTCCCGTTACTTCTTTTTTAAAATAAGAGTCGTGCTAGATCAATTAGGTAGATTTACCAACTAAAATACAGAACACATTTTTACAATGAATCAATACAACAGAATTCAGGCCCCATTAAGTTCCCAGATTTTGGCAACTCCCTTCAACGATATAATAATCAAAGAAATCATAATGAAAATCCATAAAATATGTGCCATATATAATACCTCTTGACCAGCGGTCCGAAGTGCCTGGAGTGGTTCCACACAATCCTGACCTATAACGACCAATTTCCTTCTTTTGTTATCTCCTGAATCCCGGACATCACCCAAATTTTGCTTGGCTAATTCTTGAAATTGATGTTGCAAGAGAGGTGAAACACCTGCCTGGAAACAAGAGAACAATGTTTTAATTTAAATCAAAGCATTGCGATCAATGATAACAATGAAAAGCCACTAAAAATGTTCAGGACAATAAATTATACATCTTTTCTCCCCTTCTCATGCCTGGTTTGAACCCTAGAAATTAGAGGAAATAAGATTGGACATATCATCCCACCAGGTTACTTGTATTATAAGCAATTGTTCACATTCTCATGACTCGTGATAAGAATTAATAAACGCTTTAGTCTGCTTGTTTATTTTTGCCAAGAATACCAGCAGTTGTCTAAACATGTTATTAAATAGGTGCCAAAGTTCAAAACAAAGCTGAAGATTGTTACCCCTGCCAAATAGCGGTGTGAAAAAGACTTTGGTTGTAGTGGATGTGAAAGCAGTTCGTTTAGCCCCTGTAAAAAAGAGTTTAAGATCCTCGTAGTGATATACATTTTAAATAGATCAGAAGCAAGAGTATTTTACAATAAAGAAAAAAACCTGTTGCAACTTCTTTAGATTTGTGGAGGTGGCTTTCTTTTGCTTATAATTGTTCACTCTTTCGTCTTCACTCTCATCATTGTCCATATCTAAGTCAATCAATTCTGCATTTCGTTCAAACCAGCTTTTCTTTGCCTTTTCCTAAAGAATGAAGAGAAGGGAAGCACAATCAGTGGCAAAACTAATGAAATGAAAAATAAATAAATAAATATGAAATGAAGCTCACTCTATCAAACAATAAGGAAAATTTATACGTAGATAAGGAGGAAATTTCAATAAAGAGAGATCAATCTGTAATGCCACGAAATAACAATGTAGACCAAAGGTACTTGTTTTGCTTGAAATACAAGGCAAAGGGTAAAAAGGAAATTGAAAGCAGCCTAGAAAGTTATCAATTTCGTTGTCCACGGAAGTTATAGCATTAAAGAAAACCATAAACACAAACACTTTGTCAGACAGATCTAATTTCATAACATTAGTAAGGTGGCTCTGCCAATGGGTGAGCAGGAACAGTGCCATTGGCACAGGTGGTCCATAAGAACCAAAAGTTGGGATGAACTGAATAAAATCACATCCCAACAAAAGTCAACTTTAAGATATGAGGCATGCATCAAGAATCACACAGGGCTAGTTCTGGCCGCGCTTTTTTTTTTTTTTTTGGGGGGACAACAGAAAGAACTCCATTATCCCATAAAGATTCAAAGCAAGGGGATAGGACAATCACAAATTATTAGAGTATCAGGTCGTTAATTCAAATCCAGGTTAAATACCTTGGAGTCCTTCCGCGTAACCTGGTCTATTTGTCGCGCAAGAGATAAACGTTTCATGACCTCTGGAAGGTATGAATTATCTAAAGGAAAACGCTGAAAACTTACCTGCATGAAGGCAAAATATATTAAATACTAAAATTAAACTAAGAAGGGCAAATGCTGCAATTTCTATGTCTACAATCTTAACCTTCCATGTATATAAATTATTGCAGAAAGAAGCAAATCTAAAACCTACTTTAGAAAATGACTTGCACAAAGAAGCAAATTTTGACGTTTCTTTGGGCGCAATTAGTGCAATGCTGCACCCATCAGCAGAAGCTCTGGCAGTTCTCCCACTTCTATGAATATAAACCTAACACGAATGGGAGGAAAGAGAAAGTTTAGTGAGCAACTGCAACAACCTAAAAAGTGCATTAACACATAAGAACCATATACCAAATACAAGGTAAATAAGCATTCAGATTTCCACTGACTTCTGCTGAATGCGGTAGCTGATAGTGAACAACAGTTCTCACACCAGGAATATCTATGCCTCTGGCTGCAACATCAGTTGCAAGAAGTATGCCGTGTTCATTTCCCCGAAAACGATCAATTGCCTGCATTAATGCACAAGGTTAGTGGCGGAATACTGGGGGGTTGGAGAGCAGGGAGGGATGAGCTGTCAAGCTATGGAAATAAGCCAAGAAAGCTAGGAAAAAAGAATCTACAACAAAATGCCACCCTATCATAAGGTTTCAGAATTGTCAAGCAAGAATACATAAATATAGGCGAAACCACAAGTATCCTTACACTGAGATTCCCATGCCAAATGCACAATTCAAAATGATGCTAAAACACGAAAACAAACCTTGAGTCTGGCTCGCTGCTGCATCTGGGCATGAAGTGTCCAAACATTGATACCAAGAATGCGCAAGACAGAAGATAGATGCCGCAGAGCCGCTACTGATGTACAGAAGACTATTGTCCGGCCTTGTCCATGCATACTCAAAATATAATACAAATAAGCATCTTTATCTTCCTCCCTGCACCTGCAAATACAGAACGATTAGCAATGATCCATTGCAGAGATTCATTAATCTATAACCATAAAGTTATATCATGATAAGTACATATGAAAAGTGCATTATCTTTGGTAGAACTACAAGAAGAAAAACTGCATACGAAGCATACAGGTAACGTGTTTCAAATTCAATGCAGCCCAGAACAATACTAAGCATCAGTTTAAATCTTATTGCAAAAATAATTTTGCTTACCACGGAATTCCACTGAGTTACAATCAAAATGAGAAACATATCTACGCTTGTGGTCAGAGAGAGGCAGCATGTCAATCCAGATAAAAATATAAGCGATTAATAGACAAATGATCATAAATGTCTATCCATAAATAGATGTTGGGAGTTCAAGATATACAACGGCACTTGACAAAAATATGAATTATTCTACTTGAGAAAAAATTGCATTATAGACATGGCTTAAATGAGGTCCATGCATGAATATAAGCAGACTAATGACTTCAACTGTACAAGGTAGGACGCATGCATCCTAAAACAGTGTACCATAGATAGAGCTACTGCCAGATTATGAATTCAAGTTGCTACTGCCAGATTATGAATTCAAGTTAAGAAAAGTTTGATACACCTCAAATATGCATGCACGAATTTTAACGGGGTAAAGAGAAAGAAAAAGAAAAAATAAAGGGAGACCAAACAATATAAGGCCAATATGTGAGAAAAAAGTAGTGAACAGTCTACGAAATAATAAGTCAGGACACAAAACTAAAAGGAAAAAGAGAGAAAATAGATGAAGTGCACATACTCTATAAATGATTCCTCGAGCTTATTTGCCAAAATGGATGCATTCGTCAAATCAATGATGGCAACATTCTCTCTCATCCCTGCTCGTTCTGAGAGTTTTTCTATGGAACTGAAACCATCGGACATTGATTGGTGCGGCCTCAGGGCACCACGCTTCAGCTTCTTCCTAAAATCAGCAGAGAGTGCTATTGTGGCGGAAAAAACAAACGTTTGTCTTCTCTTTCTCTGGGCGCTTGAAACTGTAACACAAGTTTGTGTATTTTGTGGATGTCCTTCAGTAGGACCATTGGTCAGAGGAAGCATGTCAATTATTGACTGCAATTCATGAAAATGTCCATTCTCTATCATACGATCAGCCTCATCCAGAACAAAGAAAGACAATGAATGTAACTGCGAAGCAAAATAATGGAAGTTGAAATGGTATCATTAGAATGAAGATAAAAAAAATATGAACTGAAAACATCTTCAGGGGAATACGAGTCATTACGCTTTAGCACTAACCTCAACAAGATGCTTTTCTCCTCCAGACATAAGTTCCCAAAGTCTACCAGGAGTTCCAACAATAATCTCAGGCCTTGTTTTTAGAAGTCTTGCCTGCTTTTCCGTTGACATCCCTCCAACAATTGGAACAACTCTAACATTGGTATCCTTTCCAGCTGCCTTGAGATGATCAGTTACCTGAAAAAGGGGAAAATGAAATCCAGACACCAGTATATTTAAAAAGTAACAACTGAGCTAAAATCCACACATCTAAAGATCCAAAAAAGAACACCTAAGAAGTTAACCAGTAATCCTAATTCTCAAAAGCAGCTGAACCGGAAAGAGCTAACTGTTGGTCCACCTTATCCAACAGATATTCAGAGAATTTTAAGCATCTCTTCATTTATATATCATACTTTCCAAACACGAAAAACGAAGAAAAATCATAATACATAAGAGACACTTTAGCTGATTCAAGGACTGAGATTCTGAAAGTGCAACTTGCTTGAGCATATTAAGGTTCATGGACTTGAAGTTAGTTAATTGAGCTTAAACATCATTGAATATTAGTTTTGGTCATTGCCTCTTATTTTTTAAGTATCCTGAAAGTTGTAATTATAACGTCTTGTCCTACAAGTCTATTTGCAGAATAAAGTCAAAAGTCCCATTACAGATCAATATTGTTACTGTCACCATTCTCCAAAGTTATCAGAACTATTCAACATTAAAATAATTATAAATTCCTTTAGTATAAAAAATAAAAAATAAAAAATAAAGAAAAAGAAAAAGAAAATAGATCCTTCTTAGTCCACAGTAGGAGATTTACTGACCTCCAAATAAAGAGAAGTTCCTTTATGTCACTAAGAACCAAAGGAAGTCATTAATTTAATCTTACAGAAAGGAAAAAAAAAAAAAAGAACCTGCAGTACCTGAAGTGCAAGTTCTCTTGTAGGAGTAATGATGAGAACCCGTAAAATTCCTTTTGGAGCAAACTTTTCTGGTTCCTCACCCCTTTCTTCAAGCATCTTTGATGCCTTTTCTTGTTCCTCCAAGAGGCGCTGAAAAATGGGCAAACCAAAAGCCAGTGTCTTCCCAGACCCCGTCTCCGCAGCACCAACAACATCCTGCCATATAAACAAATCAGACTAACTTTGAACCAAATTCTCACATCTTGTTAATAAAACTAGGACAAGTGCCTTAACCAACCTTCCCCTGATGAGCAGCAGCAGGAATACAAGCTTTTTGTATCGGTGTTGGCTCCTTGAACCCAAGCCTGTATATGGATTTCATAATCAGAGGGTGGAGTCTCAGCTCATTCCATGCATAATATTCATCTTCATCAATAGGTTGTTCTTCAACATCATCGTTGCCATTACTTACTACAATCACATGTAACCATGTTTAAACTTGCGGAAAAAATTAGATAATTGAATATTCACAGATTTCATACTAAGCTGGAAAAAGAAGAAACAATTAATCATACATAGTTCAAAAACTGAACTTACAAATTTGAATCATATTGAAAAATCAAAAAAGAAAGAATGATAAAGATAAATACTGAATCGCTGGGCTATGTTCGGGAAAAAATGGGCTAGCAGCAAGCTGACCCAGGCAGCATACTGATTTGGCATTTTCACAATTCAAACAGACCAAGATCAACTAGAATTTAGCAAATTGTAATAGCAATGGTAAGTCAATCAAGCTAAGTTTGCCTCCGAGTTTCCAACTCTGAGTTTCATCAATTAATGATTCATTAAAGACAAATTCAAGTGCAGCATTGACTTAAAGAAATTAAAGACATTTATAGGTTCTAACAAACTAACAAGATTACATCAAAATAAATTCAATGAAAACTAGGATACCAACACAGGAAAATACAAGCACAGTAAAGCTTTGGAAACCCTGAAAATTAACACAAGACACTAACCGGCCGTGGATTCTTCATTTTCCCGAGTTTCCTTCACTTTCTTCTCCCCCTTCGTCTTCTTATTCTCCTGTTCAGCCGTCACATCCCCATCCTCTTTTTTCTCGTCACCCTCAGTCTCAACCCCATCACCACCATTCCCATCAACACCCTCAACTCTCTGCACTTTCTTTCCCTTATTTCTCTTCTTCTTCCTCTTCTTTTTCTTTTCAGCCTTTACATTCTCATTACTTTCCAACAATTTCATTTCATCTTCAGCCTCAACCTCATCACCACCACTATCCTTTTGTTTCTCAGATTGTTTAGTTGGCTTAGACTTTGTCTTCCCAGTTTCTCTTTCAGGTTTAGGAATTTCCAAATCATATTCGGCTTGATCAATCTCTTCAAGCGAAAGAAATCCTGTAATTAACACAAAAAAATTAACAAAAAAATCATAATTTAACAATCCATAAACCCAAGGTTATCTTATTAGCATAATTATAGCTAGATTATCCTTAATCTTATAGAACCTGAACTGCAATTATCATTTTTTTCCCCCAACATTTCTAAAACACAAACCAAATGCAAAAAGAACCACGCTTTTACTCTTTTGTTTCTCTACGCCAACTTTCTCAGAAATCAAACGGCTAAAAAAAAACATTTTACGAAAGCAATAATCCATCATTCAGCGAGCACGAATACAAATAATTGGCCTAGAAAGCAAAAAAATTTCCATTGAAAGCATGAAATTTAAGCAGTAAAATCAAAAAATTTATTTTTTTTGTACTTTAGGGATTTTTCTGAAGCCCGAGAATCGAGAAAAACGGGTTCGAACCTCCTTCGAGCTCGTTGGAGCCGACGAGGAAAGAGAAGGGGTCGTCGCCGGAGAGAGAGGAGCTCCATGGCAGCGAGTCGAGTCGTTCGAGTTTGGCGTCGTGTTGTTGGATTCGCTTCCTCTTCGCTCTCTTCTTCGACGCAGAGTTTTGCTCGGCAGCCATGGCCGTACGGACTGGACTACAAGAGAAGAAGAGTACTGTTTAGCAGCTGAAGTGAAGAAACGGCGGGTTCTAAAAACTGGGCTCTTGAAAGTACAACCCTCTTAAGCGTGGAATACTTCCCCGTTTCGTTTGGTGGGCCAAGGTACAACTATGAACAGCATAATCTACTAAAACTTTGTCAAATATTAGGAAATGTGTGAAAGAAAAAAGTGAGTTCAAATTTTCCCTTCAACTCGAGTTCAGAAACTCAAATTTAAATTAATGAACAATATTTTTTCTATTCTTAAAAATATTATAACTTTTTCATTTTAATCCTGATTGTAGAGTTCGAAAAGATTCTCGATTTGATATATTGTAGGCCCCGTAACTATCCCTAGAGCAAAAGTTAAAGCCGTTTTCGTGGGTTTTCTGAAGTTTTTTTCTCAAATTGAAAACCCTAACCCTAAAGGGCGATTTTTTTTTTACTAAGAAAGTAAAACGCAATAAATAAGAAAATGATAGGAAAACCTGACGATCCTAAGCTCTGCTACCAATTGATACGAACCCCGCCAACAACGCGACGAAACCTAAAACCAAATTCGGAATACGATTCAAGATCTTCAAGAATTGATGGAAACTGCGACCCGTTGCTTAGCAAAGCAAGAACCTTGGTCTGGTGAAGACGCCACAAACGATTATGGAAAATCCGTTTGATAAGTCAATTTGAACACCACAACGAAAACCTTGATAAGTTTGGAATAGTTTCTTCAAGAACTCAAGAAGAATATCTCACAATATGAATAAACATCAAAACTATTTTATTAATCTGAATTTCAACCTTAAATAGCTGAAAATAAGATGAAGAGTTTAAAAATTATAAAAGTCTTAATCTACCCTTAATGATGTAGGCGCCTAAAGCAAGATAAACACCTAAAGATAAAATAAACACGCCTAAAGATAACTCCTAAGGAAGGAATTCAAATTTGAATCTAACTCCTTCCTTAAAAACGCCTATTATGCAATTTAAATGTTTAATCTAAAACTTAAATCTAAAAAGATAGAATGATAATGAAATCAAGTCTTTATCCGTAATTTTGACTTGATCCCTTGCTGGAAATTGCACCTAAGCCTCTTGGTCTTGCCCTTGCACTTTGTATCTTGGAATGACATACGAATTGGCCATGCAATGGCTCTCTTTCGGATAAACTTTAATGAGTGAAACTAGCATTTGTTCACCCTCAGTAGTGAACACTCTCTCTTCTTGTTGTAGAACTCTCCGGACTAGGTTATTTAATTCTTCTTTAAATCTTTTAGCTCGATACCTCGTCACCGGACTAGCTGGGACTTGAATTGGATCGTGAGTATTTCTTGTATCTCTGATGTCCTCATCATTTCCCTCCTCTTGAAAATGATTTGTCCTCAAATCATCACCTACATCAAAAGGACTCAAGTCAGTAATATTGAAAGTAGCACTAACATTATACTCACCTTGTAAGTCAAGTCGGTAGGCATTGTCATTGATCTGTTCAAGCACTTGAAAAGGTCCGTCTCCTCTAGGTAGTAACTTAGAGCGTGGCAGTAACTTAGAGCATCGTTGTGCAGGAAATCTTTCTTTCCTCAAGTGTAACCACACCCAATCACCGGGCTCAAAAACCAACTTGTGACGCCCCTTGTTAGCTTGCTTGATGTATTGTTCGGTTCTTCTCTCAATGTTGAGCCGTGCCCTTTCATGGATTTGTTTCACAATTTCGGCCTTCTTTTTGTTGGAAAATAATGGCATCGAGTGCGCAGCGAAATTTGAAAAATTTTATCAACGTTAAAGCCAACCAAGAACATGTTCATGATGCTATATAACATAAATACTAAATATCTAAATCATACCTTTTGAGATTTAGGAAACTGCACGTCTAACAGATCAAAGCGTTCCAAACAGCAACCGGAAGAGCCTCAACCAACTGGTCTTCTTTGCTATTCTCATTTCCACGATCGGAGTGTGGGTGGGCACACATCGTTCAATCTCCTCTTGGTATTCTTGATCTCCTTCCAATCACAAGAGAGCTAAAGAAAAAATTGTTCTTGAGAATTAAACAATTTTTCCTCTCAGAAATCTTTTATCAATAGCCTCCAAAAAGTCTCTCAAGTGATCTAATGAATAAAGTGACTTAATAGGCTATTTATAGTGTTTAGGAAGTCATACTTTCGTAATAATTAGGTTTCCCAAAGTTCTAATCGCATCCAGAGTCGATTTTGCCACGTCAGCATGCATTTTACGTTACAACCGGTCGACCGGTGATAGAGACGTTATAACTCACCGGTCGACCTGTCTTCACTAACCGGTCGACCAGACCGGTAGACCTATCTACACTGACGAAAGTTATTTTCCTAGTTTTTTAACACAGAAAACTTGCATAGAGCCTCAGTTTGATTCAAGCAACCCAATAGAGAAATTGCCTGATCAAAACAATCATATAATAGTCTTCTCATATTAAACAACTCTTAAAATAATAATTCAACTAATTTATCTAGAATTAATTTATCAATTAATTCACCCGATAAATCACTCATTAATTAACTTTGAACCTCTTTTACGGAAATAACACAAGTTACCAATGTGTAGGAAATACGCCGTATCGTTACAGAAAATTATGTGAGCTAACAAAGGGACCCGATGGATATATATAAATCAAGCTCCTATAATCACAACGGTACTTGTAAACCAACAAGTCCGTCTCATGATTATAAAACTCTAGCGCTATTCCACTAAAAACCTAGAGCTGCACTCTCGATTTATATAGCGTATTTACAAAGCTCTGATTAGCTCTAGTCCATGACTCAATATATTAGTGTATCATCCCCATAAGATATCCATAATCGACTTGAGGTCAAGTTCCGTTTTACCTTCTCAATTACATTTATCTTATGTTCCATTATCATACCATCGGAAAAATACTATTCGTACCATTACAAACAGTGAATTATTAGATAACACAGAGTAGTCGAATGGCCGAGCGCTCGTATTTTCCAATCCACTGATAATGCATAAGAGGATATTATTGACTCTTTATAGGAGCTATGGATTCCATTATCTATGAATAACAAATCTACGCATACACGAGTCATATCCCCAATGTACTAGCAAGCGTACCTTTACATAATGTCAGGATGTCTCCCTTTAGTACATCAAAGGATACAAGTCAAGCATACAGGTTCATCATCCATCTCAGGATTAAGATGACAACATATAATTCGTCAAAAGTGAATTATTTTATTCAAACAGAATTATTAATTAAAATAATTCAACTTTGATCCGATCCAATATAGATTTCACCATTAGAAACTATATCAATGTCTCCACCCATGGAGTCCCACCTCCGATGACCAAGACAAGCCGTCTCCGTTAGAAAGTAGACAACATAACAATCTTAACATGAATAAAGTGCCTAACCTTATTCCCTCGATTGTGGATCATAAGATGTAGACTATCATCTTTAGATTCTTGTATTTCGCATGTTCTTCACATTACATGCATTACCTAAAGATTTAGAATGACAGTCTCAGACTTTCAGTTTGCTTATCATACATTCAACTATTATGAACATAAAGAGGACAATACATAAATATATGAAATAAACAAATCTTTATTAATAGTCAAAATGTCTCAAAGAATAATGTTACATTTATTCCTAAGGGCATAAACGCTAACACTTTTTACCATCTAAATCCACATGCTCATAAACAGGTAACGGTGATAAATCCAAAGGAGTTAAAGGATTAAAACCATAGACAATTTTAAACGGTGAGAACTTAGTGGCAGAATGAATGGTATGATTATAAGCAAACTCAACATGTGGTAGACATTCTTCCCACGTATTAATGTTTCTACTAATGATAGCCCTCAACAAAGTGGATAAAGTCCTATTAACTACTTCTGTTTGACCATCAGTTTGAGGATGACAAGTAGTAGAAAACAAAAGTTTCATTCCTAGTTTTTCCCATAATGTTTTCCAAAAGTAACTTAAGAACTTCCCATCCTGATCCGACACTATTGTTCTAGGCATTCCATGTAACCTCACAACCTCCCTAAAGAATAATTCGGCTACATGAGAAGCATCATCATTCTTATGAGAAGGGATAAAATGAGCCATTTTAGAAAATCGATCTACAACCACAAAAATTGAATCACTACCCCGCTTACTCCTAGATATGGCAGATGGATGTCAATACAGTTTTTCTAAATGGCTATCTTGAGGAAACCATCTATATCGATCAACTAGAGGGTTACATAAAGAAAGGTCAAGAGCAGAAAGTCTGCAAGCTGTAGAGATCCATTTATGGATTGAAGCAAGCTTCTAGATCATGGAACATCCGGTTTGACAAGGCTATTAAGTCTTATGGATTTGATCAAAATCAAGATGTGTCAAACAAAAGAAAAGAAGATATTCTTATTCTTTACAAGCCTAAATATCTGATATTCAATGGGAGTAGTTAGTTGTTGTCAGTTGAACTCAAGATTCAATCATTGAGAAGCGGTGTAGTGTATCCTTAAGTGTATGAGGAAAGCAAGAAACTATAATATAGTTTAGTCTGTGAAAGAGTTGTCTGTTAGCTGGATACACTAACTTTGACTATGAGTCAAGCATGAATTTTGAGAGTCGACATCCAAATCTGTGTTCACACTAGGTGAAGGAGTCGTGATGTGAAAGGTTGTTGACAAAGTGTGATTGCTAGTTCTATTATTAAGAGTTAATGTGTTGCATCTTGTGAAGCAGCAAAAGAAGGCAACCTGACTCCAGAAATTCTTAACCGATCTGGAAGTTGTTCCAGGCATAGATCAGTCATAGACACCTAGAAAGTTTTAGGATTGGAGAATAATCTACCTTCTTTAGGACAAGTAAGTGAGAGATTGTTGTGAATGGTGTCCTGGAAGCATGAGATGTGATAGGATATTTAATAAAAGAGTTTATTCATTATTTTATGTGCATATGTTTATGAATATTTTATGAATATCAATGAAATTTTCATGATTATTTATGTGACCTTAAACATTATAT